GGGCGGGCACGTTCGGCTTCACCATTAGGGTGGGAGGAGTGGGCAGGGCAAAAGCAATGAGACAGGAAAAGACAGGCCGGCTGTGCTGTGCCAGCAAGCCAGCGAGTGCGCAACGAAAGGCCCGCCGAACAAGCCCAGGAAGGGTGGGAGTGAGAAACCAAGACCAAGCAAGCCCAAGCCCAAGCCCAGGTCCACGCCCCAGAGCCCCCAGCACAGGGCAGGCCGGGGGGTGTTGCGACAGAAAGGGCAGCACCAGCATCAGCGTGCCACCACGCATGAGGGACCAGTGCGGCCATGCTCGACCATGCGAGCCCCCAGCCAAGCTCGAGTGGAGCGGGGAGGGGGAGAGGGGCCGTCCGCGCCGCCGCCGTCCACGCCGTTGAGTGTGCCAGCCGATGACTTTGTGCCATGCGCACTAGAGCCAAAGCTGACAGCCAGATGGGCACAGGGAAGGTAAGGCAAGGCGAGGGTAAGGCAGGGTCAGTAGTCAGGCAAAGCCAGCTCTGCCCAGTGGGGCCTCTAGGCAGCCAGCTTTGCCAGGACAGGGTGTCATCGAAGTTGTGAGTCGGTGGACGAAAGGTGGGCCGTAGGTTGAGCAGGGATCCACGGTAGTTCCTAGGATAAGGGGGGGGTTGTGTTCTCTCTCTCTGTCGACCTCAGGTGTGTGTAGAAGGGGAAAGGTGAAAAGCGCATTGTACGTAACGCCCAAGCGTTGAGCTGCAGATCCATGTGTAAATAAGAGGTTGTGAGCCGTATGAATCCTTGCGGAAACTCCTGTCCTCTGTCACCAAGTACTGTGGGCTCACCAACCATCGATCGGTCCTCCTGCTTCAAGGTCGCGGCCAATGTGAAGCTGTGAGCAGGCGAAAGGACGCAAAAAAGGGGGGTTGCAGTCGTACCGACTACGTTCACCCATGTGCTTGGGATATACCAACGAGCGACAGGCGGCAAAATATCCACGTTCTTCCGTCGGCTGACAATAGTCAGCCAGGAAGCTATACGTCGACAGGTCTTCGAGGCACCATGAACTGGGCTATCGTCATCAGGGGAGCGAACTGTGTCACTCGATTGAAGACGAGGAGAGCGACGTGCTGATGAGAGCGCGCAGACATCTCGCCGTCGACAGACTCTGCCAGTCGCGTTCACTGAGACCATGAAGGCCACGACTGTGTGGCTATACGTCACGGCCCTGGAGGCCCTTGCTCGAGAGACTGCGACTGTATGTTGCTCCGTCAGTCTCACTAGAGCCTCCAATGAAACAGTACGCCCTGTAGGACTTGACCCGAGTCTCTTGCTGGTACTCTCTTGTCAAGTGCCAGGAAACCAAGATGTAAAAACAATAGCATCATGCTAAGATCGTGGAGCACGACGGGCGTGGCTGAAAATGGGGGCGGGCCTGCGCGGTCACGATTTTAGTGCGCTGTCGACGTCTTGGTCCACGAGAACTATCCTGTGCGTCGGCCATCCACCACATATTCGTCTGTGACAGAAAAGTATGAGCATGGGGACAAGTCAGCCAGCCAGAGACACCTCAACTCACCACACTGGTGCGGTTGCAGCCATCTCTCCCAGTGGCCGCATGACCTGACCATGGCCTCACTGGAGTCAAACTCTCACAGGTGCTTTGTCCTTATCAAGGTAGCGCACACGCCTCACCGTCAGACCAGGTCCCATCCCCATCTCTCCACACCACACCAAGGGACCGATTGAACCTTACCACGGCCGACCACGCCGAATCAGGCCTACGCTCAGCTTTGTTGCTAAAAACTCACTCACTGCAGGCCGGCCCTGTCGAGGCATCCGTCTTCGTTGTCGCGCACCCACACCGCGGCTTGACCGAGCTAGCACCATCAGAGCCGCATTACCTCCGCATGAGACTGAGGAGCCTATGCGGGTCTGCTTCCCAACATCGAGAAAGGCGGATCGGGCACTGTAGCAGCGTTGTCTGCCATAGCTAGGCCCACCCAGGGTCGGTCGGCGTGCTGCCAGGCCCCGACCGAACTCATCGTGCTGGCAAGGTGCCCGTCAGTCCCTGTCACTCACCACATTGTATTGTGAGCGATAACACATGTACAAAAACCAGCTGGTGGGGTGCCGGCAGAACAGCGTATGACATGCCAGACCGGCAGCTTCAACCAGCTGGGCAATGAGACAACAGACGAACTATCCCGAGGTCGCACGACAAACCTTACACCAGGGTTTGAAGCTCCAATCACTGCCTGGGGGAGATTCTCGTCAGCGAAGAATCGTCCTCGATTCACACCAGGCCAGCGAACCCAGCCCTGAGCACGGACATCACCAGACGCCCTCAAGGCATGCAGTCGAATCCGGGACGGCTTGGTGGCTGGTAAAGGTATCCTAGGTTGAACATAAGGTCAAGTTGGCCTTCGGCATCGCGGAATAGCGGAAAGCATGCGCTGTTTCGCCGATGAACAATTTGATTGGCAGATGTGGAATCTTGCGTGCAGTGACCGTGGCGCCACGGCAGGGTTTACCAAGCGGTTTTTCATGAGGTCGAAACCAGCGACGTGCTGTGGATTGTGGTCAGGCAGTCTGGCATAATGTCCCCCACGCTACAACGCCTCCCTTCTTCGCGCCTTTGACACAATGAAAAGTCGCGGCCCAACGACTATGTTCGTCTCAACTTCTGTAGCCTTGCTGGCCTCGAGGCTTGAGAATGTCCAGCCAGATACCCGGTATCTCGCAGACTGAGTACTGGGGGGTTTGTGTCATGTGAAGACGCCAACCGCAGGCTCTTGACCAACCATGTGTCGCTGGATCGTGTGAATCGGGGAAGCTCTTTCAACTTGATACGCCGGCGAGCCCTATCATTCTCGACTTAACGAGATGATCCATGGGGTCAAGAGAGGCCGGGACGTACTGAATGACTGCCTGCATAGTGAGGACCCACCGACTTGCCATCCGAGTTCTTCGACCTGATTGAACAATGTGCTTCATTGGGGATCCTCCGTGTTGATTTACGTCGCTTCAACGAACCTGCAACCCCCTGCTTCCCATCTGTGCGAACCCCTCAGGGATACCATCAAGACCACACCCCGACAAAAAAAAAGCCCCTGGATCTGGAGACATCCCCTGCCCAGTGGACTCCAATGCTAGGGACCGGGTAGATCGGGGTCTACAGGGCTGCTGCTGCATCTGGTTGGCTGAAACAACGGTTTCTCGTGTCCGAATTTGGCAACTCATGTCCATGTGGCCATCTTCGCCTGTCCTGTCGAGGAATGACGAAGGTCCCATCAGTGCGGTTTGAGAAGTACGCCAAGCATTGTGCCGGAGTCGAGACGAAGAATTCACCAGTCAACAGTCAGTACACTCAAAGTGTTAGTTCGCCCATTCTTAGCCAGCGAGATCAGACCAGCCACAAGTTCTGTGCTCTTTGAAGCGCACCCTCAACACATGATCTAGGCTCCACATCCGTAGATAGGTCCTCAGGGGGTATTACCGGTCATCTCTTCACCACAGCTATTATCCGTCAAGTGATCGCTGCGCAGCAGATTTGGGCTGAGATCTGCGTCATTTTCAGAGTTGCGATCGCACGCTGGCATTGTTCAGTCTTGGGCAGGAGTTCCTAATGTAACTTCGCGACTTTGAATCGGCCTCCCGGGTCATCGCATCGCTTTGAAGTGTTACTCTCATTCTCGGAATGAACACATGGTGT